CTCCTTTCCTTCTGCCTGTCCCCTGCCTTGTGCCCCTTCCAATTTGAGCATTTTCTTATTTCCCAATACCTTCCATTTTGGTCTTTATTTACGCTTTGAGTTTCTCACAGAAAAAAATGATTGATATTTAAACATGACTAATTTATTTAACTTAAAATTATGTTCCCAAGGTGCATCCATTTGCTAAAAATGTCTCGTTTCTCTTTATTTATGGATGAATAGTACTCCTTTGTTTATAAAAACCACATTTTCTTTATCCATGTATCTGTTGATGGATGTGTGGGCTATTTCCAAGATTTAGTTATTACAAATCGTGCTACTGTAAACATGGGTGTGCATATATTGTTGTAGTATGATGCTTTTAAGGTTTTTTGTTTTTGTTTTTGTTTTTTTTTTTTTTAATTTTTAGGAAAATACCTAGAAGGGCAACAGCTGGGTCACATGAAACTTCTAGTTTTAGTTTTTTGAGGAACCACTTAGATGCATGTTTGCAATGCCACATTCTGAGCTTCAGAATAATTATCCATGGTGCTTTCACCCTCTAGTCTCTTGGTTTCATCCTCTAAGTTCTTTCATGAAAATAGCATGTACTTGCACCTTGTTTTCTGAGCTGGTTCCTGCTGGTAGAAATGTGGTAGTCCAAAGTCCTCTTTCTTGTTTGCATTTTCTTGGTTTCAGTCTAATTGACAGTGTTTCTGGTAAGGTGGTTTTCTTCAAAAAATTTGTGCCTTTGAATCTTGGGTTTCAGTACAGGAGACAAAAGCTACACCCACAATCTTGCTTGAGACGTGTCTTGATTCTTACATTGGGCCTCCGCTGAAAGACAAAGCCTTCAAGCTTTGTAGTGATGCTATTGCTTGGTTGAGAGGTGCACAGAATATCTTTAGAGGGTTGTTGAGAACTTGGGTGTAGCACAGTTGAACACTGCCAGGATGAAATAGAAGACTGTGTCCCTGAAAGTTGGACACCGCATATCCGTTCAGAATGACTTGTCTTTCAAGTTCTTGAATGTGAACAAGAAATAAAATTCTTCTTGCTTATATCATTATTAGAAGTTTTCTATTACCAAGATAACCTAATCCAACCTAAAATATGTATTTGGTACTCTTGGGGGGAGCTCTGTGGAATTAATAACAAACTGACTCTTGAATAGATTTTGTAATGAAAACTGCAAGTGCTGAAGATTTGTTAAGTACACACACTGATCAGCATGCAGACTGAACCCATCATCATCCTTACTTACACGTTAGAAGTTGGTACTTAAATACACAGGACTATAAGCAAGGGACAGGAGTAGGGAGTGAGGCATAGAGAGACAGCTTACAGTGGTTAGAAGAATAAAACACCTGGACTACGCACTCAGGTTATAGACTCTTTAGAGAGATAAACTACATACATTTAAAAATAATAAAGAATTATAGGCACATACTTCATGCACAGAGATGCAGAAATCCTCACCAACATGCTAGCTAACCATGTTCAACAGTACACTAAAAAGATTGTCTCAGTTATTTTTCTCTTGTTGCTGGGACAAAGTACCCAACACCCAAAGTTAAGGAAGGAAAGTTTTTTTTTAAGGAAAAATTTATTTAGCTCACAGTTTGTGGAGGTTTGATCCATACTCGGTTGGCTCCAAGGCAGAGTGACACATGGCACAGGGCAGTACTTCAGGGCAGCAGGAAACAGCAGAACAGTAAGAGAAAAAAAAAGAAAAAAAGAAAAGGGAGGAGCATCAGAGACAGAGAGCAAGCCTCTCTTACTCTCTTATACTGCATCCAGGCTGTCTGCCTCAGGGCAAGAGCAGCACTCACACCCATAATCCCAGCATTGGATCATGAATTAATCACAACCTCTAGGAGTCTGCCCATGACTACATGGAGCTTTGGGGGAATACCCAGACACAAACCGTAACAATCATTTACTATGGTGATGCAGGATTTATCCCTAGAAAGCAAGCATGACTGAACATGTATAAATTTGCTATGAGTGACACACATTAACAGCACAAAGGACAAAAATCATGTGGCTATCTCAATAGGCCCAGGAAAAGCCCTTGAAATAATTGACATTTCAAGTTAAAAACAAATTAGGAGGGTTGGCAAGATTGCTCAACAGACTAAGTGCCTGCTTAGGCAAATGCAGGGACTAGGGTTCAATTCCCAGAACCACATGCTGTGCCAGGCCCACCACCGGGCATGCTCAGCTGGACGAGTCAAGTCAGGGTGTGGTGCCGCATGCCTATAATCCCAGCGCTGGGGAGGCTGAAAACTGGAGGATCACTGTGAATCCGGGCTGTGTAGTAAGACCTTGTACCAAATACATTTAAAAGAAAATATACATATAAGGAGCCCAACCAACAGCAAGAAAAACTCTAAAAATAGGCAAAGATCTGAATAGACATTTCTCAAAATAACATACAACTGGGCAATAGGGTTATAAAAGAATGTTTAACCTAGTACACATACGGAAAATACAGATTAAACCATAATGAAATGTTACTTCATGTTGGCCATTACAAAGATGAATAAGTAAGGGTTGGATATGGAGAAAAGAGAACTCTTGGATGCCACTGGTGGGAATGTGACATAGTAAAGTCATTACGGAAACAGCACAGAGGGTCCTCAAACAACTAGAAATGAAATCTCTATGATCAGCAGTCAGCTGAAGGAATAAAATCTGTATAATAAACTGCATACACATTGCTATGCTATTCACAACAACCAAGACAAGGAATTAACTCATGTCCATCAGTGGACGGATGAATGTGAAGTATTATTTAGCCTTAGAAGGAAATGTATCTGACTACCTGGAGGAACACGATGGACATCATACTTGGTGAAATAAACCAGACACAGAAAGATAGAATTCATAGAAGTGGAGAAAACACTGGTTGTCAAACAAAGCTGGGGTTTGGGTCAGGTGGGTATGGGAGATGCTATTCAAAGAGTACAAAGTTTCAGACATGAATAAATTGTTTTGGTCTTTTTTTTTTTTTTTTTTTGAAGTAGTCACAGATTTTATTAGGTGGGAGATACTCCAGATTATCTCACAGGTAAGGGTTAAGAACTGCTAACAACCACGCTAGAGGAGAGGACACTCCTGAGTGTAGGAAAAGGCAGAAATAAAGCCTAAGGGTTACGTTCGCGTCTGGCTCAAGTTTATCCTCTCAGGAGGCTTTTCCACTTGGCAGAGTCACCAGCGCCATCAGGAAACTGTCTGCAAGAGTTCATTCCACCCTGCCAGCAGTTACTCCAGTTCTGGATGAGCCCGAACCTTCCCTTGAAGGCCTCTTCAGCGCACTCCCTCACTGACACCCTGACTCCTTCAGGAAGATTGCTCTGGAGAATTTTCAAGAAAACCTCTGCAAATGTAGCCATCAGACCGCTGATATGAGCTACTTGCTCACGGTGGTCAGGACGAGTCCAGGAACATTCTGGCACCTCGGTCCTGCATGTACAGCACTTCCACGGTTTTGGTGGGCATCGCATAACTTTCCTCAACTTTGATGGAGGGATGGTTGCAGAGATTATGTCCATACTGAGCATAACTCTCTGCCAGGGTCATACATATGCAGTCAGGTCAATGTTTAAAACCCATAGTTAAAATCTGTCCCCAAATTAATTGGTCTCACTTCCACTTTTCCTCTTTTCTTGGGCCCTTCTGATATAATTAGGTGCTTATATCCCCCAGTGCCATGAGTTGGCTTTATCTTATACTGCCGACTGGTACTCAGTAGAATGCCAGCTGAATAAGTGGGACTCTCACAAGTTCTGAATCTTAGCAGTGAAAAGGCTTCCTTTAAAATGGTATCGTTCCGCAGGCACAGCACCGTTCCCGGGGTTCCACTCATTTTTTTTCTGGCTGCAGTCTCTAGCCGTGAAAACCGAAGATTCACTCCCTCAGCTGTGACCTGTGAGCCACTAAAAATGCTGACAGAACCTGTTTTTTTTTTTTTTTTGGAGAGAGAGGTGTCACTATGCAGTTCAGCTTGGCCTCAATCACTGGGATACTCCTGCTTCAGCCTCTCAGTGATGTGATGATAGGCGTGCACTGCACCACCACATCTGGCTCAGGAATAAACGCTGAAAACTCTTGTACAGCGTACATAGTTCATATACTTTGCATTTTAAAATTGCTGAGAGAGTAACTCCCGATGTCCTACCCCTCCAAAAGATAAGTGAGGCCATGGATATGTCAGCAAGCTTCACCTAATCATTCCACACCACGTACACATATTAAAACACATTTTACTCAAAAACATGCAATTGAGTTGTTCATTTAAACGCTAATAAGAATAAAAGAACTAAAAGTATAAAGCAGGATTTTAAGATGAGCATGGTGGTAGTACTGAAGAAAACGAAACACTGCAACATTTATTAAGTACAACGTACGCACTGAATTCTTACAATGCTGGAAAAATCATAAAACTGACTCAGAAAGCATAACTTGTCCAACTGCATAAAGATAGAAGCTGAACTGCACTGATTGCTCGCTAAATCTGTGCTGTTCCTCCCGATGTAAATACTTATGAATTCAGATTTGATTAATGCACAGGAACAAATGTACTGATCCTCCTTATTTTAAAAGATACTTTAAATTGTGGGCTTTTGGGGGTATTTTCAAAATGTTCCTTGCTTGGCAGAACATTCACAAATACAGCCTAAAGTGATCAATTTCACTGCACTGGGTTTGGACAGCGTTCAGGGACACAGCACCTGAGGAAAGTCAGGAAACACCACTTTGTGTCTTCTTTGGCCGACGTGACTCCCTGTATCTGCAGGATGCAAAACAGATTTAATAAAACCCCATAAGGTGTCTGTATCTCTTTCAAAAGGAAGAGTTAGAACTCCGAAGGGCAGCGTGGGGCTGTTCTCAGTAAAGAATTGTGACGCAGGCCGCTGAGTTTTTGTCCGTGATCGCAGAGCAGAAAACAAGGAGCTTGAGATGCCTTCGAGTAACGGGAGGGCGCAGGCACGCGGAGGACGGAGGACGGACGGGAGGCGACACTGAAGTGTGGTCGGGCTCCGGCGGGTCGCCACCTCAGAGGAGGAACTAAACGGCTGCGGGAAGGGCTGGTAGGCCGGAGGGAGAGGTGCGGGCGCCGGGCTCGCGCCCACCGGTGAGGTCACAGGCGCTCGAGGGGGCCGTGAGCGCGGCCGCAGCGCTTTCCAGTCGGCACGAGCTCAGCCACCGCGTGCTTTATGCCGGCGTTGGCCGGGCCATATGCGCTCCCAGAAGGCTCTTCGGTGGGCGGAGCGTTGGGTTGAGTCAGGTGATCTCTGGGCGAGGCCGCGCGGAAGCCTGGGAAGGGGCGGGGCTAGGACCTCAGCTGGCAGACACCAGGGCTG